TGCAAACTGAAACAATGGTGAGATTCCATCTCGCCCTACGAACAATGACTGTCATCAAAAACATCAACCATATGGGCTGGGGAGATAGATCGGTGGCCTAAGCGCCTGCCTGGCAAGTGTAAGGACCCAGGTTGAATTCCTGATAGCACATGCCATGCCAGCCCCTCACCATGCTGGTCATCAAAACTGGGCAAGTTGGCGCATGTCTGTAATCCCAGTGCTGTGGAGGCTGAGACAGGAAGAACATTATAAGTCTGAGCTACATAGTGAGACCTTGGACCGAATAAACAAATTTTTTTTTAAAAAATGGGTGAGGGCCAAGTAGATGACTCAATAGAATAAGCACTTGCCTGGCAAGCGCAAGGGCCTGAGTTCAATCCCTGGTTCCACAAAAAAAAAAAAAAAAACACCCATACAGAGGGGGAAAAGAATGCATTTTGGGCTGGAGAGATAGCTCAGTGGCTTAAATGCCTGCCCGGCAAGCACAACGTCCTGAGTTCGATCTCTGGTACTAAAGAAATAAAGAAATAAAAATGGGTGCTCTAGTATATATTGTTATTGTCAAATTTGTTGCTCAGACTACCAGATACAGATTGCAAGATTGATCAAACAATTAAACATTCACTCTTCCTTTAAAAAAAAAAATCAACCAATAACAAATTCTGGGGAGGCTGCTGGTGGGAGGGTAGACTGGTGTAATCACTGTGGTAATCAGTGTGGATACTACTCAAAAACTAGTACTGCCAGTCCTGTTGGACCCAGTTTTCCTCTTCTTGGTGTCTTCTAGTAAGAATTAAAGGCATCACATCAAAGTGACAGATGCATATTGTTTATAGAAGCAGTTTGTAATAGCTAAATCTTGGCAACAACCCACACGCCCATCAAGTGATGAGTGAAAAAGGGGTGTTCTTGCTGTTCAGTGGTATACTACCATGCCATAAAGACACCATGAAGGATATGCTCAGTATTTCTAAGTAAATGGAGGTACTTTGAGGCCATACTATTAATTGAAATACATCAGACACACATATGTAAATATGTTCTTGTTTTTCTGGTGTGAGAAACCAAAAGTGTAAATAAGATCCAAATGTATAACAGGTATTGTGAAATACACAGAAAATGTTCAAATGAGGAAGCAAAGTAGGGGAAGGGGCTAGGAAAGAAGGAAAAAAGAAAAAATGGAAACAAAGCTTTTATAAATGGAAAGGGGAGGAAGGGCTGAAGGGAGGGTAATGGACAAAGAAAAAAAGAAACAAGTTGGATCATGGACAGGTACAAATTCTCTGTGATAAATGTGACAGTCCTGCACATCTAACATGTACCCATACAATGTGACTGAGTATACTGGAAAGCACTTAGGTGCTATGGGGAAAAAGTACAACATGAAAGTGAGAGAGTAGGGAGGCAAAAGCCATGGGAATACATACTGGGTAAGCTTCACAGAGAAGGCAAGACTTGAGAAAAAAAGGAAAGAAAACTATGAAGATATGCTAGATTAGGACAAAAAAAAAAAGAAAAAAAAACCCTTTCTGATTAGAAGAATGGCCATCACAAAAGCCCATAGGCAAGACCAAGGTGCTCAGCAGGGTGAAGTGGCAGGTAGCCACAGTGGCCCAAGACCATGGAAGAAAGCACAATTAGGAGAAGTGGGGCCAAAGGTAACACAGATGGTGCAAACCACCATCTAACCGCTGCTAGCACTTTGGCTGCTAAGTAAATGCAAGTCCTGAAAGTTTAGGTCAAAGGAAAGACACACTCTAAAGTTTTTGTCATGGTTTGCTTCTGGCCTTACTGAACTATAATTGACAAACTATATATATTCAAAATATACACTGGGATATTATACATATAGAGATAGAGATAATGAAATGATTATCACAATCAAGTTAATACATAAATATAGAAAATCATAATCAGAAAATCAAAAGGAGAGATTAAGGACCATGAAGATCTACTCGCCTGGCAAATTTCAAGTATACAATACAGTGTCATTAAATAGAGTTACAGTGGTGCATATTAGAACCCTAGAGCTTATTTATGTTAGAACTAAAAGCAATATACTTTTTTTTCTTTCTTTTTTTTTTTTTTTGTGGAACCAGGGATTGAACTCAAGCCCTTGTGCTTGCCAGGCAAGCACTTATTCTACTGAGCCATCTCCTCGGCCCTGAAAGCAATATAATTTTAAATGATCACTCTGCATATCACCAAGAAAACAGACTACAGGCTGGAGATTTAGCTCAGTGGCACAGCACCTGCCTGGCAAGAATGTGGTCCTTGAGTTCAAGTCCTAGAACCAAAAAGGAAAGCAGGCTACAAGGCTGGGGTACAGCTTCATGGCAGAGCTCTTGCCTAACAAGATGCTCGGTGTGATCATCAGCATCATTAAGTGTAAAGTAAAGCAAGAGAGCAGACCTAAAGGCACAGATGGAAGGAAGGAGGCCACTTAGTATCAAAGCAGAATTGTTGGAGGCATGAGGAGAGGAGGCATAAACTAGCACAGTGATCACAAAGACGGAGATCAAATTAAATCCTCTAAGCAAACAAAATCTTGAATATACTGGACTAACTGTAACTCTGCTTGTCTGCTACCTAAAGATAAGCCGATGGATGCACTTAATTCAGAAAGTTTCTTATTGTAGAAGACCACAAAAATTCAGGACAGATAACAGAACATCTGACATCTACTGTCTACTGTGGACTAAGATCAATTTAGGAGAATAATTTTCATTCACCGCATTTTGAACAGCAAGTCCAAACCAGGCATGGTGATGCATACCTATATACTCATGAGGCTAAGACAAGAGGATCTCTGACAATTCAAGACCAGTGTGGGGGCTACAAAAATGAACATACTCAGCAGACTAAGTGCCTGCTGAGGCAAGTGCAGGGACCAGAATTCAATCCCTGGCACCACACGCTATGCCAGCCCCACCCCAGGGCATGCTGAGCAGCCACCACCAGGTGTGGTGGTGCATGCCTGTAATCCCACCACTGGGGAGGCTGAAAACAGGAGGATCACTATGAATCTGAGCTACATAGTGAGACCCTGTACCAAATAAATAAATAAAAGACGAAACAAAGAAAAAAAAGGAGGAAGACGAGAATGAAATTAGGGCCCAAGCAGGTATGTTAATCAGCAGGATGACACACTCAGAACAGTTCATGAAAATGTAATAGAGTATTTACAAAAATCTAGACAGCTTAACAGCAGTAAGATGACCAGAAGGCAAGAGTGCAAAACAAATACCAGGGCATAAGCCTGAAATGTCAAGAGGAAAGAATGCTGTCTCCACAGTCTAATAAGACCCAGATCTATCAAAGAAGACCCACATAATAGAAGCTGTACCTACTGAAAAATGAAGCCATTTCCAGGAATGTGCTGTCACAGATGGACCAGAGGAGATAAACAGCCCACTTTCTTCCTACTGTCTTAATTTCCCACACCATTGTCCAAACTCAACCAGAGGCCAGAAGTACAGGGGCCTAGATCTGTAAACCCCAGCCTCACAAGGCCAAGGCAAAACAGACCCACTGAGTGGAGACTGGTTCTGGAAGGGGGAGGGGAGTAACCAACGCGAAAGCAGAAAAGACTCTTTCACAGCAACCCAAACCGTAACTCGGGCAGGCTTTTTCCACGAACCCAGGGCACCCAGGTACATAAGAAACTGGGAAGTTAGAAAGGATGGTTGCCAAAAGGTAATAAAAAGAAAAGCTTTAGTAAATCACAATTATTTTTCTACAAGGTTTGTACTAATTTGTGAGTGGCTTTGCTATTGATTATTTTATAAAATTTTTACGCCACCTACATAATCAATAATAAAAGAGCATCAATGCAAAAAGAAAGTTCTCTTCCAAAGTTTTACAACACATAATCAGAGTCTAGGCATGATGGCACATACCTAGAATCCCAGCCATTCAGGAAGGTGAGACATGAAGATTACAAGTTCCAGGCCAGCCTTGGCTACAAAGCAAGACTCCATCACCAAAAATATAAATAAAAAGTAACTGAAAATGGGGTATGTATTTTTAATGTCACTTTTATAGTTCTTTATTTCTCTACGATAACAAACCATAAAACACTAATGCTTTGGGGAAATATTTAAGTAAAAGCACAGCAAGGTACATGTTCACTGAAAAAAAAAATACAGATTAAAAACATAAGAATAAAAGCAAAGTAAAACTAAAAATAGCAAAGAAAGGTAAATTTCCATCAGTTCACCAACTGCAAAATCTGTAGATCCAAGGATAACAGCGTGGCAGAAGAGAACAAGGTAAAAAAGTACAAATATGTTAAGCCAAAGCTATTCTAGACACTAGGCGAGTAGCTACTCTACTAGCTTATGTCACGTGACAAACACAAAACATACCAAAGTAGAAACAAACAGAATAAATTTACCAACGATTTTACTAGATCTCAAAATATTTCTACATAATAAAAGACCTATATAGCTTTTAATCATATTAAGTGGACTAATACTAAAACCAAAATATTTTATCTAAGCACTCTTAACTAGATAGCTTATATTTTAGATGGTATCAGGAAATGAAGGTAAAAACCAGCTCAGAAAGCAGCGTGGAGAATATGCACTGCGTTACAGCCCGTGTCCTCCATAACCTTTTGCATGCATGACCTTTAAGTTGCTGAAGGTTGCCTCAGAATTTGGCTCAGTTTGATGGAAACATCTGTTCCCCTTGCAGGTATACTGTAAGGACTCTTTTCTCAGTTGGATTCAGAACACAGCAAGTGAGCCCTTGTCTTTCCAATCACACAGACCCCAACACTTGTAAATCAAGTTCTGGGAGGACAGCAGCAGGCCCACACTCCTTCACCCCTTCCCAGCCAGCCAGGCCAACTGACTGCTGTGAGATCCGCTCTTATCATGTCATCAAATCAAAACATGTTGAGATGAGGGACTGGAGGAGGCATCTGCAGAATTCCCCGAATGTAGTGACTTTGGAACACTGACAGATGCATCTGTCATGTTATACCTTCAACTAACCTGATGTCCACTGGGCCGGCACAGTAAAGCTGTCCAAGATCGACTCTAACTCTTTCACATTATTTTCACACGTCTCTACTAGGAAGGCCTGGTGCTTCTTAGCCTTTAAGAAAAGAAATACACACAATAAGCTCACACATTATAAAGGCTGCAGAATTTAATGTAAACCTATAGAGCATAATTAAATATAAGCAACATAGCAATTACTCCACTCAAGTCTACTATTAATGAATCCTCTGCCTTAATAAGGATGGAGTGCCTTGAACTACTCTAAGTATTCTACACACAATAATCTTTTTATCCTCACAATAACTCTATGATAAAAAGATTAAGAATTTTTCAGATAAGAAAACAGATGAATTCAGGAACACTTTAAAAACTTACACTTGCAGCACTGTGGCCAGTGGTCAGGTGGCAGTCCAAAGTGAATACAGTTAAGACCAAGTAGAAGCAAGGGCAGAAGTCAAGTGATGGTTGTTTCATTCGGGCATTAGCAGTGAAAATGTGGGAAGACAGAAGGTGGAGGGGCCACCTGGATGACCCTGCACTGACTCCAACTGGCTCAGCTGGAAGCACTGGACTATCTGGTACCAGGGAAGTACTCGAATGAAGGGAAGAGTCAAGAGAAATCTCATGGCTTCAAACTAAAGCAAGTTGGTCAATTTCAGCAGCTGAGTAAGAACAGAGGCAGAGAGGTCTTACTTTGTAATCTCTTTCACTTGCCTGCTTATTTTTAGCAGGAAGTACAAATTATTAATTCTATTTAATCATATTCCACTGAAGCTACATAAGATAGTCCTAGGACAAGCACAACATCTATTAAGTATCAGGTCCTAAATAAATGCTAGACATACAAAATAACAAAGTGGGAAAACATGGCAGGTAGCTGAACATACTGTTGCAAACCCAGAGGAAAAAAGTCAGGCCTTTCAGCTATATACTAAGTCACAGAAAAAGCAAGAAAAAGGATGACTCAAAAGGGTTCACTGTGCATCGAAGCCATTGGTAACTTTGATGACATGTTTTACTATATAACAATCTTAACCAAAACTGCAATAAGATGAGAAAGTAGGTCCTCTTCTTTTCCTCCTTAACCAAGTAAAAGATCAACCTAAAGTCCAGGAATGCTTTGCCTGGCAAGAAGGGAAGAAGAGATAAAGAGCAGAAACTGGAAAAGAGAGGTCAGAAAAAGTGGGGTTGTGAGATACTTAAACTTGTTTAAATGCTGAGGAGATGGGTCAACATCTAGAAATGGGAGAAAGGTACTATAAAATTTCATCTTTTAAAATACAGTAGGGTGAAGCCCCTAAGAACACACTCAGCCACCTTATCTTTGACAAAGGGACCAAACAAACTCACTGGAAGAAAGATAGCCTCTTTAACAAATGGTGCTGGAAAAACTGGCTCTCTACATGCCGAAAACTCAAACTTGACACAGGTCTATCATGATGCACTAAACTACAGTCAAAATGGATTAAAGATCTAAACATTAAAGCAGGGACACTAAATCTCCTGGAAGAGAAAGTAGGAGGAACTCTTGAAGACATAGGGGTAGGCAAAGAGTTCATGGACAGAAATCAAATTGCACGGGTAACAGTT